TGTTGGAACCACTCCCCTACCAGACCAAGTAAGGCTGATGATCTGTGTCTGACGACTCGACTGTCCCGGGGGATACGAACCCTCCCAAGGACCGGTACAGACCGGCGGGCTGCTCGGTGTGGCACAGTAGGCYGGAAAGGCTGAGTTGTGGGCTGAAAGCACAGGCAGAACCAAGCTGATCACRTCGTCCTGTCTGCGACGTTAAAAAATTCTTGAGGAGTTACGGGGGATCTGCTTAAATGCCTCCTGATCAGCCACTTGTTCAGTAGTGACAGCCATAGTGTAGGTCTAGAGACCATAGTTGACAGGATCCCTGTCAGGATTCTGTGAGTCTTAGATTGAGTTAGGGGTTGACGTCTACGTGGTGAGGTTTGGAACCACTAACCCGGTTGTACACTTATCACCATGGTTGAGACTCGTAGTGGGAAGGAGACTAGCCCCTACACCACTGAGCAGCAAGAAAAGATGGCCGCCTTAGTCAGAGAGAATAAGGAGAGGAAAGAGCGTAAAAAGCAAGTCAAGCTAAAGGCTATCGTAGACGAGCAAGCGGCGAAGATGAAGAGATTGGAGGAGGAGATGAAGAGGGTACAACAGGAGGAGGAAGAAAGAAGGAAGGATGCTGAAGCAGAAGCGGCTGCAGAAGAAGAGAAAGAGAGAATGAGAATTGAGAGTGGGGAAGGAAGTAGTGGTGGCACGATGAAGTGGGAGACAAATATTGAGCTGGAGAAGAAGATCAGCGAGTGGGTCGCTAATTTATCGTTGGGGGAAGACGAGAAGGCGGAGTCATATGTGACTAAGGATGAGAAGGCTGCGCTGGCCGCTGAGCTAGCAGCCATGACAGACCCAATGGAACGAAGATAGAGGGAAGACGAGCAAAAGTTAGCATGGAAGCTGAGAATGAAGAGGGAAAAGAAGAGGAGGAGAAAGGAAGTGAATAAGATGACCGCAGCAGTGGCGAAGGTGCAGGAGTGTAGAGCGGAGGTGCTGGCCCAGCCAGATGATAAGGCCAAGTGGGACAAAGTACAGGGCTATTTAGAGGTGTTGAGCAAGGCCWGGATGGAGGAGCGCCAGGCAAGTTGGAGCCAGGATGTAGCGTTCAGTGCCATGCGGTCCGGGTTTAGGGATTTTGCGCGCGAAATCATCACCCACATTGGGGGCGAAGTCAAACAGTTGAGGGACAATGTAGGGAAGTTTTGAGAGGGCGCCATTCAGGGTGCCAAAGTTGCAGCCGCTGTAGAAGGAGAGGGCAGACCCCGTAAGGACCCAGTGAAACTTAAGTTCCCTGACGCGTACGGGGGAAAGAAGGACGAGAACTTTGACAACTAGGAGGCTAGTGTCAATAGTTACATTTATTTACAGCATATCCTGATGGAGGAGCAGGTCCTCGTGGCCTTCCAGGCCCTGAAGGACGAAGCGGCTAGCTTCGCCAGGTCTCTCGCGCGTACAGTCGGTTGTAAAAACAACCTGGTTGCGTATTCCAAAGTCACTCCTCTTTCCCAATTCCTCAAGCTCCTCAAGGAGCGGTTCGCTGACCCAACGCGAGGCATTAGAGCCTCTGATAAGCTCCAAACGATCCACTCTCGGCAGTGGAGGAGTGCTAAGGCACTCAAGGGTACTATGGACGACTTGGTAGTCGTCCTGGACCACGGAGTTACTGAGCCCCAGCTGGTCCAGTTGTTTTATCGTGCCATTCCAGAGGCCCTAGGCGGACATTTCTTTGACAAATCTCAGCAGCCCGGCATGACTTACGATGCATTGAGTAGGGAAGTCGTTTATGCCCGTGACCACTTTTTGGCATAAGGACTTAGAGAAGGGGAAGAAGTGGAAGAACCGTACCATCTCAGGCCAAGTAAAGGCCAAGGATCACATGATCCTGACATTAGAAGAAGGTGGTACCGATGAGGTCCCATATGACCAGACTGAGTGGGGCCTTGAAGATGATGGCAGTAGTGTGGGGCAGGGGAGGTCTTACGCTGTTGTTGCGGCCGGAGGGAGGCCGCAAGGTAGAGGAGGAGGCCAGGGCCAAAGGGGCCAGGCCATGGGAGGCTGAGGACCGGGCGCACAGGGGGTTGGCGGACAGGGAAACCGCCAAGCGGGAGGTAGGGGTCAAGGTTCCCCGTTAAATCGCCAGAGTAACCGGTCCCCACAGCGAGGAGGTGGAAGGGCACCTCAAGGGGTTGGCACCCAGGCTTGCCACAGGGCAGGCTCTGGGAAGATTTGGGCCTGGACCAGCGCGTATGGCACGAATGCGTGGACCGGGGTCAGTGCGTATTCTGCGGTGACCCGGCCCACGTTATCAAATTTTGTCCAAAGTATAGACAAGCCTGTTGGGCTGCTCAACAGTCAAAAGGCAGACGCCAGTAGGGGTCGCAACTGCCCCTACTTCCAGGCCATGTGGAGAAGTGAACGCGCGCGAACAGGACACTCCCAACCCACATGAGCCTATGGCAGAGGTTGCAGGTCCGTGCCTAGATAGTTGTCCAGAGACTGCTTGTGTTAGCGTCTCTTTAGGCACGTCCCTCACAGGTGTGGCAGAAGAGTTAAAAGAGAGAATGCCAACTTGGGCCAAAATGAAAAGGGAGAGTAAGGGACAACTGATTTTGGTAGATGTAGAGGTGTTCAGAAGTAGAGTACCCCTTATAGACTCAGGGGCTACCCGTCGTTACACAAGCCGTAGGGCGCTGAAAAAACTGAGGCTAGGACTAAAGGTCCAGAAACTAGTAGACCCCATAGTTAGTGTCCTCGCAGACAACCGAACGATGCGCGTTGAGGACTACGTAGAGGGAGTCCAGGCGTACTTTCGCCTAGAGAAGAATGGAAAAGTGGAGAAGGTCCTCCATTCTTTGACTTTCCTCGTGCAGGATGACCTTCCTTTCGATATAGTGTTAGAAATGGATTGGGAAGAGGCAGCAGGGGCCACACTTCATTTGAGAGAGCATGAGTGTAGGCTCCCTAGCCCGTCAGGCGAGGTTAAGACTGCCCGCTTGTTCCATGTGTCTGGTGTAGATAACACCTTGACACATTGTTGTCTCAATGCTCCCGCATTCGCGCGATTAGTAAAGAAGGAGCAGTTAGAAGACCAGGTCTTTGTAGTATATGTCAGACCTGTCACTGAGGCCCAGGAAAAGGATAGTTCCACAGATCCAACAATTGCCAAGCTGCTCGAAGAATTCAAAGACTTGACTGAGTCGCCGASAGGAGTAGTGTCGCGACCCATCCAGCACAGGATAGAGATAGAGCCTGGCAGTAGAACTCCTAAGGGTGCAGTCAACAGGATGTCCCCTAGAGAGTTAGAGGAGCTCCGCAAGCAGTTAGACAAACTCCTTGAGAAAGGTTGGATCAGTCCCAGTTCGTCTCCTTTTGGAGCACCCGTTTTGTTTGTCCCCAAGAAGGAAGGAGAGCTTTGTATGTGTATAGACTACAGGGGTTTGAACGCGATCACAGTGAAGAATGCTGAGCCGCTGCCCAGGATAGATGATCTTTTAGATCGAGTGCAGGGTTGTAAGTATTTCTCTAAGGTAGACTTAAAGTCCGGATACCATCAAATAGAAGTCCATCGTGATGATCAGTACAAGACTACATTCCGGACTAGATATGGGCATTATGAGTTTATAGTGATGCCCTTTGGACTGACCAACGCGCCAGCTACTTTTCAGCGTTGTATGAATGACTTTTTTAGACCATGGTTAGATAAATTTGTAGTAGTCTACTTAGATGATATCCTAGTCTTTAGTAAGACCCTCCAGGAGCACCAGGGTCATCTGAGGCAGGTCTTGGAGAAGCTTAGAGAGGCTAACTTCAAGATCAACGCGAAGAAGTGCGAGTGGGCCAAGACGCAAGTCTTATACTTGGGCCACGTGTTGGACGGAGATGGTATTAAGTCAGAGGACAGCAAGATCGTGGCGATCAGAGATTGGCCGACGCACCGCACATTGACAGAGTTGTGGTCGTTCCTAGGCTTAGCTAACTACTACAAGAAGTTCGTGAGGAACTTCTCCACTATCGCCGCTCCCTTGCGCAGGTTGTTAAAGAAAGAGACAATCTGGCAATGGGATAAAGACTGTACGTCTGCGCTCAAAAAGTTAAAGCGCGCGTTAATAGAGTATCCTGTCCTCAAGGTTGCAGACCCCTCCTTGCCATTTGTTGTCACCACGGACGCGAGTCAGTATGGGATAGGCGCCGTGTTGCAACAAGATGATGGCAATGGCTATAGACCCGTAGAGTTCATGTCCGCGACGATGCCTTGTGAGAAAGTCGCTCCCTCCATGTACGAAAGAGAACTCTACGCCCTCAGGCAGGCTTTAGACCAATGGAAGCACTACCTGCTTGAGAGGCACTTCAAAGTCTACTCGGACCATGAAAAACTTAGATGGTTGAAGACCCAGGCCAAGATGACACCTAAGTTGACCAGGTGGGCCGCAGAGATAGACCAATTCGACTTTGAGCTCAAGCCAGTGAAGGGCAAGTACAATGTAGTGGCAGATGCTCTGAGTAGGAGATCAGACTACTTTGGAGTCGTAGTACATTATCTGGATATAGGGAGAGACCTGCAGGAGAAAGTGAAACAAGCGTATATGCAGGACCCTATCTATAGCGACCTCCTAAAGAGAGTTAGAGAGGCCCCATAGACCGAACCAGATTACCGCACTACAGATGGGTTGCTGTTTGAGAAGACTAATGTGTTTGACCGCCTGTGCGTTCCCAATAGCGAAGAGATTCGTAGTCTAATTCTAGGGGAATGTCACGATACTGAGGGACACTTCGGTTGGCAAAAGACGTTAGCCAATCTGATGCGTGCGTACACATGGCCAGGGATGAAGAACGACTGCATAGAGTATGTCCGCAGTTGTAAAGTATGCCAGCGAAACAAATCTACT